CAAATGAAACCGATACAATCAAAGTAAATAAAGGTGGAAACAACAAGCGTCCGTCCGTCCATCAGCAAAAACGAGTAAGTTCAAGTTGAGATTCTGATAAAGACAAAAAAAATGTTTAAGGTTAAGAAATAAAAACCAAACGAAAAGGTATCTAACAATATAGATTCTTCTATCTTTCCATCTACAGAAGAACACTGAGAATAGTTTTGACGAAGAGATTATTCCATTCAAAAAAAGCCGTCCGTCCATCCATCGACAGACCGGAAAACGAACGCCAAAGAAGTCAGCAAATTGTAACAACAGCGATTCTGATTCAGACATAGCCACCAAATCTTCGTTCTGCCACGTGAGCGAAATCACATCTGAGGTCGAAGATTCTGATACCGATCTATCGAACACATATTCGTCTCACCGTAGTGACGAAAGCCGTAGTGACGAAAGTGAGAGTGATGACGACGATCTGTCCGTCCATTCATTACAAGAGAAAGTTCAAGATAAAAAACGACAAAACAAGGCGGCTGCGAACGTCTCAAGCGAAAAAACGGTCCACAAGCGCAAGAAGAAAAATCCTGATGACGATTCATCCGTCAATGAAACGAAACGCATTAAGGTCCATCAAGGCGATAAAAGAAAAGATCATTCATCGCCCGTCATTCATATCGATACGTCCGTTCGTCCATCCGGCAAAAATTCGGCTAAGAAAGTCAAAAATGCAAGCAAAAAGAAAACAACTAAAAAGCGTAGTGCGCCGAATGTTGTTGATGGTGATGGGCGCCAACCAAAAAAAGGCAACAAGCAAAAGGACCCACAAAAAGCTTCCGTTGCAACTAAAGAAGGAAAAATAAAAAAAAATAAATAATAAAACGTTACCGAAAAATGATTCAAAACATGCAACAAACGAACATGGTGCGGGTTCATCTGTTCAGAAAGCTTCGAAGGTCAACAATGCTTCCATCCGTCAAAATAGACGTTTTCTTAGAAGCAAAAAAGAACTTTAAGGGCTACATTTTTTTATTTTCCTTAACTCATTTATTTTTTTCTATGGATAAATCAAATTCAATTTTTTCTTTTTTTTATATTGTATTTGATTATCTCTTATTGCGAATAAAAGAATAAAAAGGAAATATAAATAGAAGAGTTCGAAATATATCTCTAATTACAGTCCGTCGGTCCAAGAGATTCGTATGACTATTTTGAAAGTGTTCTTTTAGAAGAAAAGAGTTATTTTTTTCGGGTTTACAAACGAATAATAGCATCCCCCGTTTTGGTGGATACCAATTGTGAAAACTACCGATTGTGTTTTTGATTAGTTACCGTCCGTCCGTCCAAATGGTTTGAAAGTGTGTGAATTCTCATCGTTTTTTTTAATTAAATGTTTATATTGGTAGCCAACTTCACTGCAATTGTCACGTGGTAATTTAAAATGTGTTTATTTCATGGCCTGGAAATGCCTATGTAATTTACATATAAACATGTTCTTCTTTTTCCCAGGGACTACCGCGGCATATTTATAGTAAGATATTTATTTATAATACTTAGAAATAAGTCTTATTTCGTTGCGTGCACGCTACAATGCAAACGCACGACTCCGCCTGTACAAACACAGAGACGAAGAGCGCAAAGGCTACTCTGTGTTCTCGCACGCTTTTTCCATCAAATGTACCAGTGGCGCCACCAATTTTACATATAAGCGCATACAAAATTTTCAATATGGCTGCGCCCATAAGAGAGAAAATTTCGTCTCATTCATTTCCGCCCCATGGTTTATCTAGTATTATACAGGGTGATTCACAATTCCATGCTAATCTCTCTACTACAGATTCACTAGCTCAAGAGGAGTAAAAAAGTGTATGAGCACTTTTCCCAAATTGGCTGTTTTAGTAGGGTTACATCCCTAGGCCCCTTAGGGTCAAGTTTTTCTATTTTCTGGTTGCTTTCCACGGATGGTCACCACAGCGGTGTTTTTCAAAAGCAATTTTTTATTATTGTCTTGTTGGAAAGGTCTCTCGACCCTAGGAGGTTTCCTAGGTATAAAGGCGGTCGGGTTAAAATAAATCTGATACTTGAACGAATTGAAAATAAATGTGATACATACCACTTTTATTTTCAATATCTTTCAAGTATCAGATTTATTTTAAACGCGAGTTAGTATCTCATTTATTTTAATTCATCGTCTTGTATCAGTATTTTTTTAAAGAATGTTTGGAGGTCATGATTATTCTTACCCATTCAACTGTGTCATAGCTATTCATGTCAACGAGGCAGAAATCGTTGGCCTTTCTTCATGAACTTAATCAATGTATATGGACTCTACATTGTGGAGTCGCTGCGTTCATTGTTTATAATGCAACCAGAGTATCATGATTTGCTGCTGCTCAGCATATAGCTGAGAAATGCTGAACTCGTGCGGCTAACGCATACGAAACGGATGCACGATACATATTCCTCTTTCACTTCGTATGTGCTGCCGTTGACGCTATTGCCGGTAACACACTATACCAGCGAACATACGAAGTGAAAGGGGAATATGTATCGTGCATCCGTTTCGTATGCGTTAGACCTAGGGGCTTAATTCAAAATTTTCAACGACTGAGTTCTATAATAATATCTAAATTAACTGAATTTTTCTACAAACGAATGAATTCCGGTGAATTCTACGGCGATTTCATTCAAATATGTGAGATAGTGATGAATAGTATCTGCTGGCAATTACTGCAATATTTATATTTTGTATAACAAAATTGTAAATGTTTTTTATATTTTTTAAATAAAAATTTATTTTATTTTCAATTTTGAGCGATTTTCTATCGAAAACAATCGGAAATATTGAAAAAATAATAAATTAAAAAATATTGCGGTTATCATAACCTCACTTTATTAATTTGACACATTTCATTCTATTCACACGAATTCACCGAACTCATCAATAACCACTCGATTCAAAAGTGTGAATTTACGTGAATTCCTGTGAAATTTTTTCCGTGAAATCCGACGGACGGACGGACGGATTAAGATATATTTCCTTCTATATTCTTGACTGTCAAATAACTTCTTAAGTTAATTCAATAAAAAGAAAGTGTTCTTCTCTAGAACATTTTCAAAATGAGCATACAAACCTGTTGAACGGACGAACGGTAATTAGAGAAATACTGTATTTTCATTATTATTATTTTATTCGAAATGAGAGATAATTATCAATTATGAGATTAATCAATTACAAGATGATGACTTTCATCATAAGAAAGAGAAAAAAATTAAATTTGATTTACGAAGAGAGAAAAAAATAAATGATTTGATTTTTTCTTTTTTAATTTGAAAAAATATTGCCATTAAATTTCAAGGTTTAAAATTCTTTTTTGCTTCTAAGTAGACGACGAGAGACTGGAGCTTTCTGAACAGATGAACCCGCATCAACATCATCATTATTCGGTAACGTTTCATTATTTCCACGTTCTTTAGTTGCATCGGAAGCTTGTTGTGAGTCCTTTTGCTTCTTGCGTTTTTTTGGTTGGCGCCCATCACCATCAACAACATCATTCGTCGCACCACGCTTTTTAGCTGTTTTCTTTGGCACTTTCTTAGCCAAAGTTTTGCCGGATGGACGGGCGGACGTATCGACATCTGACAACGATGAATGATCTTTTCTTTTGTTGTTATCAGAATCGCCCTGATGGACCTTAATGCGTTTCAATTCATTGACGGATAAATCGTCCATCTTGCGCTTGTTGACGTTTTTTTCATTGCTTTTTGCATCGTTGACATCACTTTCTTTAGATGGATGGACGGACAGCTCGTCGTTGTTTTCAATACTTTCGTTAATGGTGACTACGCTTGAGTTCTTCTTATTTGTCGCATCCGTCAAATTTTCATCAAATGGGTCGTCGTTGTTTTCATTCTTGCTATTGTCAGAAGCGTTGACATCACTTACTTTAGATCGACGGACGGACAGCTCGTCGTTGTTTTCAATACTTTCGTTAATGATGATTACGCTTGAGTTCTTCTTATTTGTCGCATCCGTCGAATTTTCATCAAATGGGTCGTCGTTGTTTTCATTCTTGCTATTGTCAGATGCGTTGACATCGTTGACATCACTTTCTTTAGATAGACGGACGGACAGCTGATTGTTGTTTTCAATAATGTTGTTAAGGATGACTTCGCTTGAGTTCTTCTTATTTGTCGCATCCGTCAAATCTTCATCACATAGATCGTCGTTGCTATTGTCAGAAGCGTCATTCTTGCTATTGTCAGAAGCGTTGCTTTTTGCATCGTCGAAATCACTTTCTTCAGATGGACGGACGGACAGCTCACTTTGATCACTTTCATCATGTTTGGATTTTTTGTTGCGGTCCGAATCAGAATTGCTGTTGCCGGTCTGTCGCTTTGTTCGTTTTCCGGTCTGTCGCTTCTTACCCCGATGAACGGACGGACGGAACTCTTCGTCGTCTGATGAAGAAACCAAGACGTATTTGGGATTCGGATTTTTAGGTTGTTTCTTCTGTTAATGGAAAGATAGACGCATTTTATTGTTAACCTTTCGTTTGTTTTACATTTCTTAACTTTAAAAGATTTTTATGTCTTTATCAGAAGTGAACTTTTTAAGGAACTTACTTGGTTTGGTTCTGATCGTCGGCCATAATTCTGTCGCCGCTTGATTGGTTTGTTTATTTCTGTATCATATGTGTCTTCATTTTTCTTCATCTTTTGATCACCACGCTGAGGTACGTTATTACTTTTAATTAATTTGATTAAATCGCCTTCTTTTGGTAATTTGGTATTCGATACGTGTATTGCGCCACTGTCCGGACTGGTTAACTTGTCAGGATCATCATTTGTTGGCGTTGAACCAGTTATTTCGTTTTTTTCTTCATCCCCTTCATCATCTTTCTTCTTCTGACTCTGAGATACCTTTTCATTGTTACTGGATTTGGTTGAAACGTTTTCACTTGTTTCTTTTGACGATTCTTCATCAAACTTGTCTTCATCATCTTGCTGATGGACGGACGGACGCTTGGATACCTTGTTGTTTCCACCTTTATTTACTTTGATTGTATCGGTTTCATTTG